CTACCATTATGACCAAGTTTCAAAAACCAGATCAAACAACTTCTATTATTATTGAGGTTTATTTAACTCGCAGAAACTCCGATAAAGTGCAAAATCTGGAGGAGTTCTACACCTGGGACGACTTGCGCCTTACCCGCGAGTTGATACCCTATTGTGAGGGCGATAATCAGATATACTACGCACAAACTGACTGAGGTGAGTTCAGCGCGGCAAATTTTTTTGCTTTCCGATAACTTATCCTTGCTGGACTAAACCTCAAAGCGTTGGCAATATTATAGGCTAGGTTTATTGCAGTCTATATGCCATATGAAAAAATATTAAATCAAAATGGTTATAATGACTGGGGTGTACGTAAAAAATACGCGCACTTATCAAATTCTAATACATTTGAATTTTCATATTAAAATGCCCTCTTCGCAAGATACAATGAAACTGGTATATCCAGGGTAAAGATTGGAAGAAAAATAGATGAAAGGACATGAAATAGCATACCAACAGCATGACCAAAGAGGCTTTTAACTCCGAGAGCGACACCTTCAGCAAATTCCTCCGGTCCAAGAATAGCCCCCTAGAGTGATGATAATAAGGCAAAATTAAATTATTGATGAACGAAGCCACTACGAATAGGTAATGTGAGTTTTAACAGGAGATTAACGATAGCATTATGTTTAGCGAGAAGACTCTAGAGTAATTCATGCTAGCCGAAAAAAATTGACCTCCTGCACAACTTTGTATTTATTTAATTCCATCATAAAAATATCAAGTCTTAGAAGGATGAATGCTCTAAAATAAAGTGAAATATAAAAATTAATTTGCTTTTCCTGATAATCATGGTTCCTCTTTAACATGAAAGATTCCTTTCTTATCATGATTGTATAATTATAGGCCCCACAAATTGGTTGAGTAAAATGATAATTTATAAAGAAAAGATAAGAATAAGCTAACTGGCTGGGTTAAAGAATGTCCATGAAAGAATGGCAAAGCCAGCAAATGATACGGGATTAGCATTGAATTATTAATTTAAAAAATTTCCGATGCAATGCAATAAGCGTTTACTTTGACTGGCTCGTAGAAAAGGTCTTCAACACCTTGTGCCATGCCACGAAGCACGCCAAAAGGGTTGCCGAGGACATCGAGGCCAAACACCAGGACGTACATCTGACGGATACTCTGACTGACATAATGGCGCATCATTTCTGAGGACATCTGACGAATCGTCATTATGCAGTTTTGCCTTTCAAAGTATGCGAGTCTAGAAAAGAAAATTGAACTATGAGTCAAAACTTAGAATTTATGGTGTGAAGTAATAAATATTAAAATTTTGTTTGTACACGTCACTAAAATAGTCACATAAACCATGCATATATTCATTCGTGCTGTTTCCAGTAGGTTTAAGCAACCTCAAGATCAACATAGAAAAAGTGATTTTCGAAGATTCCCTTCATGTAATGATGTTGAGATGTCTCAATAAGTGAACAAAGCTAGGCTATAAAAATGAGGTCGAATTGTGGCAGGCCACCATCCGTGTCTTTATGCTTGATGAATTATAGTAAAGCATGGTGGCCTGTTCTAACGATGTCGGTGACATGACGGGCGAAAGCTCAGCAATGACTTATCTGGGTCACAAGGCGATGCGTCGAGGACTTACACGCACAAATCCACAGTCATAGCTACAAGGCAATCTCCCTACCGCTCCTAATGAGGCTAACTTACGGATCCCTTTAACTCGCCTCTTCAAACGAAGTTAAAGGTACTCTAATTCTGGATTAACGTTTGTTGGCCAATTATCAAGCGAGTGGTAAAAATCTGTCAAAAAATCTTTCTTGATTGGTAGAAAGGACTCGATATTAATCTTCCAAAAATATCATGGGCTCCCCGTTCTCATTGATTGTTCATTATTGTTTAATAATAGTTCGATTTTAGACTCCGACCTTTGGGCACTTAAGAAATAGTCATCAAGCTCAAAAAATGTACATTTTTATAATACAAGGAAAGAGAATCTACTATAACAGTTGCTTTTCAAAATTCATCATATTTTGAGGCTTAAAAGTTAAGAATTACAAGTGAAAATTTTTTACAATTTGCTATACGCATGATTTCCAGGCCTATTACCAACGCACTTTTGTTCGTTGCGGAAAATATTTTAATTTAAATCAAAAATGGGAATACCAAGATGTGGCTTTTGGTATGGTCGCAGTCTCCTTTGGATGTAAAGAAGAAGGAGACGACTGGATTAAATATTTAAGTCCAACTAAGTCACCATGACAACACGACCAAGTTGCGAAAACGAGGTCAGCCCACCTTTATTTTCATGTTAATCCACAAAAGCAGGATTGTTTGAAGTTCCGTATTGCCGCAAAATTGTAAAATAAACTGTAAAACATGTACACGACCAAGTCGTAAGGTTGTCTATGCAATTATTAATTAATAGACCAATTAGAACTCAGTTCACATAGCTTACTCATTTCCACGTGCCATATATCCATGTACAATTTTGACGTCTTGTTTAACAAATAGGAATCTTACGGATCCTGATTCTCAGAATATCAATTTTGCCTTCTGTTTGGTCTTAGTCTCCTTTAGCATTATAGTATTGGCTTGACCTTGTATTCGCAAATTGGTTGTAGCGTCAAGGAGACTTTGTGGAACGTATCTATATTGTGTCTTCTGCCATAGTATTTGTGCTTTCCAGCTTCGGATCATTGACTCGGACCGAATGTATGGGAATGTACCAAGCCAATGATCCAAAGATGGAAATCAGGAATACTATGACTGGGAACACACGACTAGGTCTCCCTGACCTCTACGAATTTAGCCTTCATATAGCTATTCCTTACATGATCAAGTGCTGTTAAGAGGCAATCTTCCTTATTGTTGGGATTACTTCCATTTCGAGTAGAAGTGTTGGGTGAAGAGATTCGAAGGTCGGTTCCACCA